GATTCAGCTTCCCAAGAAGTAAGTGTTCTGAAAATTCTGATACATATACTTGCTCTTCTCTGATTTGCACACATGCATGCATGCAATCAAGCGCCGTGCTGTATGGCTATTGTCAAATCAATGTATCCGGTAAAATGGAGGTGTATGTAGTGACTGGTGTTTTAAGTAAGATGTGGGTTTGTATGCCAGTCATTTGGACCATAGAACAGAATTTATCACATTCTATTGTCACATACTCTGTACGTTATTGTAATTGTGATGGCATTGTGTGGCTTGTGTCACATAGTAGAATTGTGCTGGCAGTGTATTTGGAAACTTGAATAAGCTTGCCATTGTGATGACAGTTGCTGATGCCAAACTCAACGATGTTCATTTAGGCTCATAATATATGGGAATGTGTGGTCCTAGATAGTTGTTTTTACCTTTTTTGTTTAATTGTTAATTTGTTATTTGATCTAACTTTACTAGTATCTGCTTAGTCAAAAGTAGTTGTTCCTCTGTTGGAAAAAAAGACAGTTGCAATTAAAAGAGGTGAATAAAGAAGTGCTAAATGCCTACAATATGCCTTTCTTTTCTTGAGATTATGTTATTTGAGCAATATTGGCCTTGTTCACTTGTCTTATAATCCGTACTTTTCGGCTTGTCTTTTAAGCAAGAACAGTGTTTTTCTCTCACAACAAATCAGCCGGAACAGTGTTTCAGCTTGTTTTTTCAGCGAAGCGAACGGGGCCATTATTTCTCAATTTCATTTACTTCTAAGAAGGGGAGCCTTGGCGCAGTGGTAAAGCTGCTGCCTTGTGACCATGAGGTCACGGGTTCAAGTCCTGGAAACAGCCTCTTGCAGAAATGCAGGGAAAGGTTGCATACAAAAGACCCAAGTGCTCGGACCCTTCCCCTGACCCTGCGCAAGCGGGAGCTACGTGCACTGGGGCTGCCCTTAATTTCATTTACTTCTAACACAGAAAAAGGCGATTGGATGGAGTGTGCTTAGAAAGGTTTCAACAATACAGTAGAACATACATCCAGTCATGGATTCTTCAAGGTTAGTTCATTCTTTTGATGATTCTGTGCATTTTGATCCTTGTACTTCTGGAAGCCGTCAATATATTGCCCAGCATTCCCTGTGTTCTTCCAATGTTTTTTGTTCTGCTTGCTCCTTAGTACCTGAGCAAATTATTTAAGTTTGTTTAAAATCCTTATTTTTTATAAAATTTTCTTTCCTGTCACCTTCAAATATGTCTCTGTTGGTAGTGTATAGATTGCTTAGTTTTGTTCTGTTTAATTGGTTGTTCGAAAAAAATGCATGACATCCGTGTTATGGTAGGAAATTTCTGATATCATTAGATTTTAGACATCTGCCATTTTTTAATTATATGCTTTGTACGCAGAGCCATACTTCATAAACTATTCTTGTTTATTGAACCTTTATGTTTCTGTAGGTAAAGTCATTGTGGATGGAAGAGTTGTGAATAAAGCTGGAACACAAGTATCTGACAAGTCTGTCATTGAAATCAAGGCTGAAATCCCAAAATATGTATGTAGGTGATGCTCTAATTAATTAGCTTAAAGTTTTTTGTGATTTGCAATATACAAAATTACTCCTTTCTGAAGCTTACAATCATCCTCTCTCTCTCTCTCTCTCTCTCTCTCTCTCTCTCTGCAGAGCAGGACATAAGCTTGAGGCAGCTATCAAAGGATTTGATATTGATTGTGATGGAAAGATAGCCCTTGATTCAGGATTATCTACAGGTGGCTTTACTGACTGTTTACTTCAGCATGGAGCATCACATGTTTATGGTGTAGATGTTGGCTATGGACAGGTTTCTTTACTTCTTTGATGCTGTCTAAGTCCTACCACTTTATCTGTCAGCTGCAGGTACTTGCTACGCATCTGCAGTAATATGACTCTAAACCTCAATGTGTCCTCCATTTCAGGTGGCTGAAAAAATTCGCACACATGAACGTGTTTCAGTGATCGAACGCACAAATTTAAGATATCTATCTCAACTGCCAGAACTGGTTGACTTGGTGACACTGGACCTATCATTTATCTCCATTCTCTTGGTATAATTTAATGTCCAATTTATTGTCATGCAGATTTAGCAGCCAGAAGGTTATCTCTGCATTTAACATTTTCTAACAAAACACATATCATATAGCTGATATGTTAATAAAGTGAATGATGCATTTTACCCTAGTTGTTAGAATAGGGCCTTTATTTTGTCTGTTGTTGTCTGTTTGATTTTTATTCAGTGCTCATAATTTCCTTTCTTTATGTTTTAGTGCTTTCTTTGTATAATTATCATTATAAAAAATTACTGAGCTTTAAAATCTAGTTCTCATGAAGCTATGTTTGTTATGTGTATTGTAAAACAACCCAAGAAACTGCACAGATGACCATTTTTTTTTTAACAATGATTAGGCATGTCATCAGCTTCAGTAAAATTAAAACAGTAGAGTAAAACATACATTGGGAAATGCATTTTCCCCTATGTGAATGTATGGTCTGACTATCCAAGTCTGTTCTGTTTTTCCTTTCATCTTATCTTTACCATGTGTTAGAAAAATGATTGTTTTCCTGTTGTGAAAATTCTCCTGGTATAGTGTATAGTTTGCATGACGTAAAGGGTTAATGGGCTTCAGACTCAAGTTCTTATGAAGTTTGCTTTGTTATATATTGTTCAAGAACCCAATCAACCACACATATAACTACCACCAAATTTTCAGAAGTTATTAGCATGAGGTCAGAAGGGCGGGCCTGGTGCAAACGGTAGAGTCTTACCGCCTGTGACCGGAAGGTCCCGGGTTCGAGTCGCGGTCTCCTCGCATTGCACATGCGAGGGTAAGGCTTGCCACTGACACCCTTCCCCAGACCCCGCACAGAGCGGGAGCTCTCTGCACTGGGTACGCCCTTTTTTTTTATTAGCATGAGGTCAGCTTCACTGAAACTGGAATAGAGTAGAAAGCATGCATTAGGAAAATGAATTGCATTTGTCCCATGCGAATATGTGGTGCAGGTGTATAACTATTATTTACGCCTGCTCTATTTTATTTCATTTGTGTTTAGGTCATGCCTTATATTACCCTAGCATGGACTTATGTTATCTGTGAAATCTAGGTCATGCCTGCTGTTATCAAAGTAATGAAGACGGATTCTACATTGATAACACTTATCAAGCCTCAATTTGAAGCACGTAGATCACAGGTAAGATTGAAGGGAAAGAGTGGTTCTTCCCATCTGGAGTTAGGGCTATTTGTTATATGTACATTAATAGAGATAACCCAATCAAATATATCTTGTTTTATCTTGTTCAGATAGGAGGTGGAGGGATTGTTCGAGATCCTCTGGTTCATAAAGAGGTAGCAGTTCTGCTTTGTTTTCAACCTTGTTCCGGTAGTAATGCCATTAAGCTGTTTGTAACAAAATATTATTTCTCATTATTTTGTATTCTGACTACAAATATGTTGCTTCCTTGCAATGGAGTGGCTATTTACTGCTGGAAATTGAATGATAATTTGGTGTGTACATAAAATAAAGACAATTCATCAGGATCTTGGATTATCCTGAGAAAGGGTGCCATATTTGTCTATTGTCTGCTTTTACTTCAAATATTGTTTTCCCATTGAATTGTGACCTGGGAATCACTCTATTTTGATCCATTCACTCCAGGTCCTGGATAGAATAATTTCAGGCGTGGAAGAATTTGGATTCTTCAATAAGGGTTGGATCGAATCTCCTATAAAGGGTGCAGAAGGGAACAAGGAGTTTCTTGCTTGCTTTCACAGGATCCGAGTATCAGAGCCACAGCAAGAGAGATAGAGAGAGGCAAATGAACCTGTAACCTAGGATGTTATCAGAAATTACTCAAATGAGTGATCATCAATCAGGACACCCCCCATAAAGTGTCTGGAAGTTATGTTGATACACAGTTCTGATATTCTTAGTTGTGAGATACAATTTGTCGAGCTTAGTCCAGTTCTGATACTAATACAGAATTTTGAAACACATTCTGAAGTTTCGGGGGTCGGTCTGCTTGCTGTTCCCCAGGAGAGCAAGAACAAACACACAGAAAATCGTCAGCCTTTTGTTCATCGTAGAGTATTGTAACCTGACCGTGACATAAATTTGCTGCTCCGTTGCCTACTAAACACATGCAATTTTTACTTACTGTGTAAAGAAAGGTGCATGAAAACTGCTCTTCTCCAGCAAAATTTGCTTCAGTTGCATACTTGCATTATGTGCCCTTGGTTGCTTATTCTGGTACTCTGAATACCTCTGGTCACCTGACCTGAGTCAACAAAAAGAACGTATCAATATACACAACTGATCACTGACGCTAGCCAAATCGTTCGTTGTACACTTGCGCTTGAATTTAGGTGAAAAAGTGCCTTGTTTCATCTATGACGAAGATCTGATATAATGAAAGAGAAACTACATATACAGCTTGTTTTGTTCTCCAATTCTCAAGACATTTTTCTTAGTTTCAATTCAACTCTAGTTTTTATAAGCAACCTGTTCGCTGGTTGGTTTCTGGACTGATAAGCTCGGCTGGTGCTGTCTTATTGTGAGAGAAAAACGTTGTTGGCTCGCTGATAAGCCCGACTCTGATTGGGCCGCCCCCCACCGGAAAATCGGTTGGGCTGGGCCGGGCCCGCGCTGCTGTCGCGGTGGCTCCACATGCCAGTGGTTGCCTGGTTCCGTTCCCTCCGCCGCCGCGCCTCCCGCGATTCGAATCGGAAGCCCTCGCAGCTCCATCCCTCCCCGTCTCTAGAAGCCTCTAGAAACTTCTCCCCTGCGACCCAGCCCCGAGCCGTGGGCGTGCAGAGCAAGGTCGGGGTCTGCACCGGTAATTTCCCGCGCCGCCGCCGCCAAAACATCTCGATTCGAATCACTGAATGCTGACGGAATTTCGGGGGAAATTTAATGCGGTTTCGCTGATTTTCTCGTAGCCTCGCCGTGGCAGCGGGAGCGCGCGGGTTGCGGCCCGTCCTCGCCGGCCATGGATCCCGACGCCGCCGGGTGCGACGTGTCCGCGGACGGCCTCATCGCCGAGCTGCTTGACATGGGCTTCGACTTCGACGCCATCAGCGCGGCGGTCGGCGCCGTCGGCCCGCGCCGCGCGGAGGTGCTTGAGCTCCTGCTGGGCGGGTCCGGCGCCCGCGCGGGGCAGGCGAGGCGAGGAGGGGGAGTGCCAGGCCGTCCCGCGCCGTCTACGGCACGGCCACGGCCGGCTCGCAAGGGCACGAAATTGAGTAACCCTAGAGGGAGGCTTAGGCAGTCCAGCATTACTGATCACGTTGGCTCGGCTACTGGCGGCAGAAAGGAATCTGGTCGGGAAGCGAGCACTTCGTTTCCTTGTTCGTCGGCTCCTGGTGATCCCAGGGTGCTGCCAGTGGGTGTTGATTTTTGTTCCAAACCGGGACCCGAGTCTCAGTCGTTGGTTGAGAACTCAACAGGGGAGTCCGACCAAATGGACATAGTTAGTGCTGTTCTGCAAAAGCATTTTGGGTTTTCCTGCCTCAAAGCATTCCAAAAGGAAGTCTTGGATGCTTGGTTTGCTCACAGGGATTGTCTTGTCCTTGCAGCGACAGGATCAGGTGTGTTTTCTGTAATGCTCTTCTTTATCTTCTGTAGTTTCTTATTTTTCCCCACATGGATGACAGTTGTCCTCCTTTTCTTACATGGATAACTCTGCTGGCAGGAAAGTCCCTCTGTTTTCAGATCCCAGCTCTATTAACAACAAAGATTGTGGTGGTCATATCACCCTTGATAAGTCTAATGCATGATCAGTGCCTGAAACTTGCAAATCATGGGATATCTGCATGTTTCCTTGGATCAGGGCAACCTGATAGCTGCGTTGAGGGTAAAGCGATGGCTGGCATGTATAAGATTGTTTATGTTTGCCCTGAAACAATATTAAGGTAATAGTTCTGCTTCTGGTATTCTAAAGTTTATTAACGTGTTGCCATGCCTATCTTGGTGGTGATGTCTCTTCTTGCAGATTAATGGAACCATTAAAGAAACTTGCAGAAAAGCCAGGGATTGCACTTTTTGCCATTGATGAGGTTCATTGTGTTTCTAAATGGGGCCATGATTTTCGACCTGACTATAGGTCTGCTCTTGTGTTTGATATCCTCTGTTAAAGATGCTAGTTATTGTTTACCATTGTTTTTTTGTCATCATCATTTTAATTTTCACATATAATGAAGTGAGATTTATTTCATTTTGCACTCAAGAACCAACATGTGCTTGCTATTTTCTCACATCATCTTATAACTCTTTAGAATTTGTTAGTAATTATTCTATGCTTTATTTATATTCTTACAACAGGAGACTATCTGTGTTGAGAGAAAATTTCAGTTCCAGCAAATTGAAGTTCTTGAAGCATGATATTCCTTTGATGGCATTGACAGCTACTGCAACTATTCCTGTACGAGAAGACATTATCAAGTCCTTGAAAATGTCAAAGGATACAACGATTGTGTTAACTTCTTTTTTCCGGCCAAATCTCCGGTTCAGTGTGAGTTACTGCAACTACTCCCATACAAGTGTTAACTTCTTTTTTCCGACCAAATCTCCGGTTCAGTGTGAGTTACTGCAACTACTCCCGTACAAGTGTTCTGCTAGTTTTCCTTTTATGTTCTTCCTAGGTGATACGAATGCAGTGTGTAGAGCAGTGTACTGTGATATGCTGTATGAAACTACAGTCTTGGTATACCATATACAATTATTATACATTACAAAACTGAAGGCTTCAACTTCAGATTCCTTGACCTTTATAAGATACATTCAAGAAAGTAAGATGGTTGTGATTATATTTTTTTAAGTTACGGTATGGTTGCGATTATTGAACTATACTACCCTTCGTTTCATAACCTAAGCTTTCGTTTGAGGTGGTTTGTATGTCACTCTCTTTGTATTATCAGAGAGACAGAGACAAGAGGTCCATGATCCTCTCACAAAACGTGATACCTGCTTATTGTTTGTGCATTGTCTTGTTCTTAGTTCATATGCAGTTGAAGCTTGAGAGGGTTTTTAGGACTTCCTACTGATAAACAGTTATCTTATGCCACTATTTGCTAATCCGTGCTGCTTACATTCTTACTTCCCCTCCCAATTTGTCAGGTAAAGCACAGCAAAACTTCTGCGTCATCATATGGGAAGGACTTCCAAGAACTGATAGGGACATATAATTCTTCAAGGAAAGGGCAGCAAATTCTTCATGAAATTGACACTGACTCTGAAAGCAGTTCATATGAATCTCTGAATGATAGTGCATCAGATGATGAAGATGAAAATGTTGATTCTGCAAGCCATGGGTATAAGAATGTTGGGAAAACAAAAACTAGCATGACTGTGGTAAAAGAAAACATTGAAAATGAGTTGGATCTGTATCAAGGAGTTGATGATTTTGATGGTAACGGACTGACTGATGATTAACTTTGTATGGAGATTTGCTTTTTAGTGTACAGTTTCAGTGATTTAAGAAAAAGTACTTTTGATCTTATTTTGAGATTGTTCTTTTTTTAGTATGTTAGATCCTTGAACTGAAACTGAACTTTCTTTTCTAGTTTCATGTGGAGAGTTCCTTGAATGCTCGCGGCCTGAGAGCTCCAAGTCTCCTGCTCAATCCAATCAAACTAGCTCCTCAGAATGTGGCGACCAAGGTCCTACAATTGTTTATGTACCCACAAGGAAAGAAACCATTGAAGTAGCTAACTTCCTTTGCAAATCTGGTCTCAGAGCTGCAGCATATAATGCAAAGGTAATCATCATTGTTTTTCTGTATGCGTAATGAACTCAGTCTTTCCTCTTAGAGAAAAGGGAATCAATAAGTGTGATTTGTGAACCATTTGTACATACATTCTAATCTTCTAGAAGTTGTCTGCAAATTGTAGTTTTCCTGATGAGATTATCTATTCTCTTAATATTGTCACCCTGTAATTAGTTTGGAGCTATCTGACACTTTTTTTTTCAGATGCCTAAATCCCATTTGAGGCAGGTGCATCAGCAGTTTCATTGCAACGACCTAGAGGTAGTAAATGCTGTCTTAGTTTATTTCTGTTTTATTATCTCAGATATGACTGGAAACGTTATATGCTATGAAGGTTGCACCTCTTCATTAGTTGATGAAATTTCCATGTGCTCATTTTCTGCCTTTTGTCTGTGAAACATCAGTGTGCATGAAAGAGAGCTTTGTATTTTCAGTTAGACATCCTGAAGTAATAGATGGTTGATGTGTATATTTCTTATGTACCCTTTCTTCAGAGATTGGTAACTTATTTATTCGTAGTATCGTACGACTTTTCAGTACTGAATGTATAAGGGTACTTGTCGGGAATTGGGATGCAGTTGGCATGGATAAGTCTAAGTGGACTTGTCTGATTAAATCCACACCCATATCATCCTATATGTTTCAAATGAGCAGGCTCTTTTGATTTTTCAATTATCTCTTAGTGCTTATTGCTCGTTCACACCTTTGTTCACTACTCCCTCCAGTTTCCTAAAAGATGTCGTTTTGGACAAGACTTGGGTCAAACATTGGGAATATAAATCATGAATAACTTTTAAATTGTTGAGTTTGGAAATGCGAAAACCATATGAATAGATTTATCTTGAAGTATACTTTCAAAAAAATATACATATATCACTTTTCAATAAATATTTTTATAAAAAAAGAAGAAGTCAAAGTTATGCTTTAGAGACCATGTCGCTGTCCAAAATGACATCTTTTAGGAAACTGGAGGGAGTAGGCTGTTCCAATCCATGAGAAAATGGCTTGAATTAAAATGAGAAATGAACTGAAATTCTGATATGGTGTGCTCCATGCTTCAGTACTTACTGAATCTTCACTATATGTAGTCAGTATTTTGTCAGTTCTTGCTTAATGGCTCTTATACTATGTCTAGCGGCCTATTTTACCAATTTAGGATTCTATGATAAACTTGGTAATATGTAATGCTGTTGAAATGTTGGCGCATAAGTTATTTCACCTGTATTCAGTATTGCAGTGCCGAAGTGATTGTTTAGTAATATAATGTTCTAGCTCTTAGGGATCTTTGAAATCTTACGGTCCTATGTAGTTCCTTTAGTTACATAGTTCAGAACCATGAGCAAAATCACTTTTCACATCTCTATTTGTTAAGATATAAAGTTGTTGTTCTCGTAAGTCATAACTGTTATGCTATCTTATTTTTATATGAGTAAACATTATATTCCATCTGAAGTCATGCCTGTAGAAGTTTCTGTGTTTTATGTACATCTGTGATCTGTCACACTTTGTTGAACCCTACTGTTCTTTCCCTCTACTCTAGTGACCTTTTTCTCTATGTAGGTTGTGGTGGCTACCATAGCATTTGGCATGGGAATTGACAAATCAAATGTCAGGCGAATTATTCACTACGGTTTACCGCAGGTTAGTCTGGTCTGTAGTACTTCCTAATTAACTTCCAGACACAATTTTCCTGTTCATGTCATTTCACACTCCTGTTTGGTGAAATTGCATGATAGATTGTTCTGTTCATAAGCCATAGAAACAGATAGGGTGTGTTTGGTTTCCTGGCCAACTTCTAGCCTGGCTAGAATCCTAGCCTGGGCAGCCTTAGCCTGCTCTCACCAAGCCAATCTCTGGTTGTTCGGTTGTCTGTACTGTCTAAGCCTGGCTAGCTCCAGCGTGTGTTTGGTTACCTGGTTTGTTTTGATATAGCCACCTCTTCTCACAATTGGTAAGGTTACCCCTTTGAGCCATTTCGTCGAACAAGTAATGGGCATCCCCGGCAATACTTATCCTGCAAGTCTGTACATATACAGGCAATATGCAGTAGCTGAAGCGCAAAAGGATAGCACTTCTGAATTTTCACATGGAATTGATTTTGTTTTGCCACATTCAAGTCTCAATCTCTTTTGCCATGTTAAATTAACATCAATAAATCGAGCAATTACATTCAGATCTCAATTCAGCAAACATTCAGATCACATTCAGTTACTCTGAAACAAACTTTCAGAACTCGTTCCATGCCGACGGAACTTCAGTAAACATTCAGAACTTCAGTAAACATTCAGATCACATTCAGCAAACATTCAGCAAACTTCAGAGCTCGGTAGCCTGTGCCCCATGCCGACGGAACTCGTTCCACCTGCAGCATGGCCTGCAGCACGGTGCACAGCAGCACAACGACGGCCTGCAGCACGGCGCACAGCAGCACAGCGATGGCCTGCAGCACAGCGTTGGCCTGCAGCACAGCACACAGCAGCACAGCGACGACCTGCAGCAGCACAGAGACGCGGAGGATAGTGGGCGGTGGCGGCGCAAAGGGAGGCGAGGTGAGCCGCTAGTACGAAGCCAACCTGCCAGAGTCAAGGCCTCAGTGATCGCGGTGTTGAATCTCCGTCTCACGCCTGGAAAGAGCAGCGGTGGGACTGGGGAGGGGCGGTGGCAGCGCTCGAGGCTGGGGAGGACGGCGGCGGCGCGAGCGTCGTCGCGACTGGGGAGGGGAGCGGTCGTGGAGATGCAGAGGGCCACCGGAGAGGGCTGCCGAAGAGAGTGTGCGGGGAGAGGGCGACGGAGAGTGGGCCGCCGGAGAAAGGGCACGGGGAGAGGGCGCGGCGCCGCCGCCAGCCCAGGGCCGGGCGCGCTCGGAGGTTGACGACGCGGGCGGTGAGGAGACCTCAGTTCGGGGCTTTGCCAAGCCTGGCTTCCAAAGAACGGCCAGCCTCTGCGTTTTTCTGGAGCCAGGCTAAGGGGTGGTGGATGGCTTCTTGGAGCCTGGCTTGGGCCTCCAAACAGGCAACCAAACAGCCTGAAGGTGGCTTCCTGGAGCCTGGTTTGGACTTTAGCCACCCAACCAAACAGGCCCATACTGTACAAACTTGTTTGCAAACATATCTATTATGTTTATCCAATGGCTTACACACCTGAACATGTAAATGTGTGCCTCCAACCTAGGAGCTTACGGTAGTGGCAGTTAAGGAGATCAGGGAGTTGTCATAGAGCAATATGAAAATTTTGGGTGTTGACTGTTTATTACTTCTCTAGTTCTCTTTTTGCCTTTCTTTTTTGGTTGTTAAGGGATCAAATGGCTGCATGTGCTAAAAAGGTTTAGGCCAGGCTGCCAGTTTGGATTCTGATGAAGCATCATGGCAGAAATAGTATGAAATACAGGCTTTCTCTTAGAGTTCAGGTTTTCAGATACATCACCTATTGGCTTAGCCTTTCTTTTGTTTCATCTTTTTTTACTTTTGTCTGAGTTCTAACCAGTGTTCAATTGATTTATGCAGAGTTTAGAAGCGTATTATCAAGAAGCTGGCCGTGCTGGTAGAGATGGAAAGCTGTCAGATTGCAGTGAGTTGTGATGCTTCAGATTTGATACAGTTTTCATAGACATGATGTTTCTCACTTGTTGGTAGACACTGAAGAATATGATGACTGATGAATCATACTCTAGTTTGAGAGTTGTACATGTATTATTTGTGTTTACCTGCAAGGCCGCAACCATAGTCATAAAGTTCCTGAGTCGACGAGGTCGAGGAACATGGTAGGTACGCTACTTGCTAGAGGTTTTTACACTGCAGGGTCAAAAATGACCCTGCGTACCTGGGTTGGGGTCAACATTTCCAGGTCCCTTGGACCATGGGGTCAAGGTTTAGGCACCAGTGGTGGCGCAGATACGAGGAGAACAGCAGGGAATAGGGAACTAGATTCAATCGATTACTTGAGGTTGTCCAAATACATGTGGCCTATATATATAAGGCCAAGTAACATGTCCTTTCTCCATACGACTTCAATTATTAGATTCTAATCCAATCTGCTAATATCTCTAACTAAAACCGACTAACATATCTCCTAAACAAAAGCACCTAGGACTCTGACTCCCTGAGAACTCAACCACTTGCGCGTGCTCTGCGCTGCATCCTGTTCCTGGGCCGCCTCCTGCGCTTCTGGCATCGCTCATACATAGGCCCTTTTTTTTGAATCACAGTGCTGACACTAATACATGCACGTACACTCACCCCTATGAACGCACACCGGTACCTTGATTCAGTGGGCTAGGATACTTGGTTTGGAGCTTTATTGGCATCTTTTTTTTTACCAAAATGTTCCCTGTTCAATAATTCCCATTAAATATGCACCTGTACAGGGACCAATTAATTTGAAAGTTTTTCATGACAACTTCTGTGTTTTCTTGTTTGGTTGATTGTGTTTGAGTTTTCGAATTTACGAGCAAAGCTGTAGGGTATAGTCTAGAAAATGTTCTATGTTGTTTAGGTTGTGGAAGTTGTTGGTGCCAATAGGTATATGGCTGAAAATTCCCTGCTGCACCTTTCTGTCCTTATTCAAAGTATACTGTACACCTTCGCCATGCACTACTTTTATCAATTATTATCAAGCCTTTCCTTATTTCCTCCTACACTGTGTCACATTTTCCCCTGATATTGTCTGCAGCTCTATATTGTAATTTTTTTAGAGCACCGACACTCCTTCCTAATAAAAGAAGTGAGGAACAGACAAAGGCTGCATATAGAATGCTACGTGATTGTTTTCAGTATGTCTCTATCTATCAAACTGTGGTGATGTAATTACATGTATATTTGCTAAATGTCAAGGGATTAAAGTTGGTTGGAAATTCTTATGTCGCAGCTTTTCTCTGAACACTTCAACATGTAGAGCCAAAATATTAGTGAAGTACTTTGGCGAAGATTTTGGTCATGATGGATGTCGCATGTACTTTTCTACTTCCTCACTTCTCTTCTTATACAAACCAAGGATGCGCTTCTTGCAATCTCATGTGAAACTGTGTCCTTATTTGCAGACATTTTTTACAAGTATATCTGATTTTCACTTTTGACCTTAGGTGTGACATCTGTACTAATGGCCCTCCTCAAATGCATGATTTCAAGGAAGAAGCGATTGCGTTCATGAATGTGCTCCAAGGTCGAAGTGTGAGTTCCAGTATAAATCTGGTTGACCATATACTATTCTGGTTCAGAACTCTAGCAATGTAATGTCAATTACAAATTGTAATGAGGTGACAAATTCTCAACTCTAGTCGTTGAGGAAGCCAGTACGTTTCCTGTAGTCATATACTGTTTTGAGCTTTGTTGTTTCATCTCTTCCTGAAGATGGAAATGACAATGTGGATACAGTTCTGATAATTCCATTCATCTTCGCAGTGCTAAGATCTTTTTTTGTTCTTTGAGGGAATCTGATACATCTAGTTGCAGGTGCCCTGATTTTTTTTTTTTTTTGAAAAAAAAAACTTAGGCTTTAGGGGAGCAAAGAGCCCTTTTACTTATGTTTAAACTTAAAATTTGCCATGGAGCAGTCATCCTATAGTATCATTATTACTGTTAACAGTGATTTATGCTTAAACTTGGAGGTATAGAAACTTTAATCTTTGTACAAAACTTACATTACTGATTTGTAAATGCCTGTTCACATAACTGATAAAAGGAACACCGAACACAGGCAAAGTGATGCATAGAAGCAACATAAGGAGTCTCCCTTGTAATGTTGTTTAGCTATGAACTTACTGTGGATAGACAGACACATTAATGCAAGATTTTTCACATTTTTCCTTTGGCATGGTTTCATCTCCCTTGCATTTTTATGTGACAAGGAAACCGAGCTACTTTCAATTGAGCATAAATTTAAGTTACAGAGTATCTTTTTAGCCATTCTATATTGTTGTAACTTCATGTAAATCCTTGTTATCCAGGGTGATGAAACCGAAGATATGATTTACAGCAGTGTACCCCGTTACAGCTCTGGCAGGACAGGGTTTGGGGAGGCACCTAATTTTAGAATGGTTGTCAGTCATATAAGGGAAAAGGTTTGTTCTAATGACTTTCCATCTTTTGAATTTTGGATCTGGTAGCAGTAAACAGAGAATTCTTGTCTTGTTAAACAATGACCATAGGGTGGTTGTATATTGCATGAGAAGTTCTTAGATTATCGTTTTATTGTGATACAATTTTATATTAGAACTAAACAGAGAATTCTTGTCTTGTTAAACAATGCCATAGGTTCTTAGTTGGAATTGCCAAAACTGTTGTTGTGATTAAAGATTATTTGTAGCTTCCTAGGTTCGCCGCAACTGACAAGATATGGTGGCAAGGTCTTTCCCGTATATTAGAAGGCCTGAGATACGTACAGGAAGCAGCTGAAATTGTAAGCAATTTACTTTAGTAGTGTGTTCTTCTTACAATGTGTTAATTCAATGTTGTTTTGATGCTCGGTATGAAACAATAATGCTACTGTTCACTCACAGTATGCGGGCCTTTTAGAAGCTACTAGCAATGTTTTCAAGTCGTCCGATTAATCACGATTAATCGTCCTAATCAGTCCCTGCTGACTGATTAGGGGTACCGTCGACTTGTACAAGTCGTCCGATTAATCGCGATTAATCGTGATTAATCGTCCTAGTCGGTCCCATGGCGACTAGGTTCGACTGGACGACTTGAAAACATTGGCTACTATAGTGGTATTCCTCTTCTTCTTTTTATTAAGTCCTCATTCACTATTCCGAAGTCAGAAGTTGTGCCTTTTCATGTTCAGCCTTCAGATCTAAAGCCTCTAGGTGCTAATAATGTTGACAGCCTTTTGCTGGCTCCATTCCCGTTCTGCACAGAATAAGTTAACTATTGGAAACAAGCCAGTTTTCAGTTGTGCATTGCCTTCTGCTTCTAGTCATGCAGATTAAAGAAGCATTTTAGTGACATACTACACCCCTGACTGTTACCCCACTGATGACCGACTCATAAGTCATATCAGTATATGGGATGAGTACGTACCAGTATTCAATCCACATGTGTTGGAGTGGATTGGAATGGAACTTAGTTCAATTCCACAGCAATCCACTTCAACAAATGTGGATTGAGATGAATACATGCGCATCCAAACAAGGCTTAAGTGGGCTATGGATTATTAAAGTTCCTCCTGTCGCTCAGTGTAGAAACTCCTCTAGGCAGTTTGTTCAACAACTTTCCGTTGCAGGAATGCCATTTATGAGGATTACCAAAGACCTATATGCAGACACAAGCATAATTTTTTGTTTAGGATTTATTGCTTTGTTGTGCTTTGTTCGCACCACAAGAGGCAAAACATAAGAAAATTTATGAAAAAAAAAACTGATTTCTCCTGACACTATCTCCCCATTATCTGCGAACTGATAACGGATGTGGTTTGCAGCCTCGTGTCTCCATGCAGTACCCTGAGCTGACGGAGGAGGGATTAAAGTTTCTGCGTAGCTCACAATCAGAACCACCTCTATATGCATACCCAGACGCGGCAATGCTCTTGGCAGTGAACGAACCAAGGCCCTTCTCTGATTTCTCTGAGTGGGGGAGGGGCTGGGCCGATCCCGAGATCCGCCGGCAGCGTCTGGCAGGCAAGAAGACCGGGAGAAGAAAGCGGAAGTGGCGCTCCCGATCCCGATCCCGATCCCGGCAGCAGCAACCGCCCGGCTTCACCACTGCCAAAGAGAGACTGGCCGCGATACTGGCGAAGAAGCGAAAAAGGTGATGTTGCACAAGGTTGGTAGTAGGATTAGATAGTATCACCGTTGCTGTTATCGTCGAAGTTTATATGGTCAGTTAGATTTTATTCTCTCGAAGAATCTATCTGATAGAAGCGAAGTTTTTTTTTTTTGATGAAAATCTGGTTTGTCATTGTGCTTTTACCATATGATGGGTGGAAAAGAGAGAGAGAGAGAGAGAGAGAAGAAGACCCCATGCTTGATGAGGATAACGAGCACTGTTTCGGCTATCTAATTCTCTCTAACTGTGCTATCAGATTATACGAGTACGTACCTCTGGTTCTCTCTAACCGTCTAACGTGAACCGAAAGAATCAGAGGTGCAGATGTTATCATCTGTCTGCTGCTGCTACTGCTCGAGGAATCAGAGGTGCAGATGTGAATTTTCGGCCGTAAACAGTAAATTACGGCTGGTTTTGGCACCAGCCGAATGGCGCCTACGTGCATGCTTCGGGCTCCGTGTCAACAGTGATGCAAGTCTCGTCGGCCCTCACATCAGACCTGCTGCTGGATTTCATTCACGCCCATCCGTTTCATTCATGCTTTCCACCTGCTGCTCCTAAGAAGCCCTGCTGAGTGCTGAGCCAAACCAAACGGATGGCGCCTGTGGCTCCAAATGTGCGCGTGCGATGTGTCACGCCCTGGCACCGTTCGGTCGGCTGGGGGCTGAATCTGCAACTGGAAGCGTGGTGGATCAGATCAGTGATGCAGTGGCAGTGGGTGGGTGCGTCCGAATTTTTTATTTTTTAGCATTTTTTTGAAAAAAAATCACAAATATGGTAAAATTTCAAAATCTGAACCCTTAGCTCGGCACCATCATTGCTGGCGCCGAGGTCTTGAGCTCGACGCAGACGTGACGGTGACTTGATAGGCAGCTTGATGCCATAGTTCCTGACGCCGTAGATCCTGACGCCGAGCTCGGCGCCGTAGATCTTGGCGCCGAGCTTGGCGCCATGATCTATGGCGCTGAGGTGGTGTTTTAACCTCGACCTCAACCTTCTTGCCCGAGCCTTCTTTCTCTTCTTTCTCCTCCCTTTCGGGTTTTTTTCTCATGTGCTAATGACAAATTAATTAGGCTTAATAAATTCGTCTCGTGGTTTACTGACGGATTCTATAATTTGTTTTTTTTATTAGTATCCGAACACCCCATACGACACCTTCATGTAACATCCGATGTGATATCACGAAACTTTACACACTGAGTTTAAACACCACCTTAGACCTAGAGCAATATTTAGACCGAGAGTCGATTCCATACGCAGGATCCACACCGACAGAAAGAAGAGATCATGGTTCCCTAAACTCCTTTTCCCTTATTCCATATCAGATTTCTACAGTTTTCAATCAATAGAACCGGGTTCCATGGGTGAGAAATGCTGGCCTCTACGGTGTAAACCTGGTTCTATAGTAGTAGCATTTATTGCATAGAATCGACTTGGATATGCTCATTGCGGACGCCATAAGACGCCAATCTTTTTTTAAGGTAAGAGTTGGTACATACTCGTATCTTCCCAAAACATAATCACCCGTTTTTGCAGATATAGCAGGACTCAGGAGCTACTATTGGCCGGATATGAACACGTCAGCAATTGGTCCGGACAAGGAAAACATGGCAGGGAGATTAGCCGAAAGGAGCAGACACTGTCTACTTAAGACTGGCTGCAGACATGTAGCACAACTCAACGACTGAGCATTGATATAACAAATTTGTTCCATCACAATTTGTTTGCGGAACAAATGATCATCGATATATCAGCAAACAAAATGCAGATCAGATGATGCGAGATTAACCACAGGTCCACAGCCAGTCACAACATACAATTCTTTCTACAGAGGGTTCACAAAACACTACTTCCTTCCCTTGCCCTTCCTTTTACCCTTTGCAGCACCCCGCTTCTTGTCACCCTTTTTCGCTTTATTCTTGCTCTTGAACGTTCTCTTCTGTGGCTTCTTCTTCACACCTAAACTGTTGTTCTTCTTGGCAAACGAGCTAGGATTCTTGTTGGTGTAGCTCGTCGCCACAGGGCCGACAGTTTTCGGGCTGATGTCATCGTCTTCAGGAGTAATTTCACTGGTGGTGACTATAATTCTGGTCCCATCATCTTCGTAGGTTTTGATTTCTGGAAGCACGATCAGTTACCAGAGAATGAGGTTTGACTTCTAGAAACATCAGTGTGACATGGTAGTTTACAAATTTAGTTCAGGTACTCACCAGACAAAGGTTCGTCATTTTCCATATCCTCACCATCATCACCGTTATCTTCATTTTCTAATCCAGCACCATCATTGTTATCCGATGACAGTACTTTACCATATAGAGCAATCTCCTTCTCTTCTTTCCTCTGTAACAAAATAACAGCACTGAGAAAGACCTAATGGCAACAACCAAGTAGTGTGCTCATGTGTAATTACTAAAACACAAGCCACCTGAAAATGACATTAAACTGTTCATAGACATCCCTATCACCTTTACATGGATATCTGTAAAATTCTTAGGTAGCATTTGGTTATTAGATTGGGGCTGGAATTGGCTCCAAGTAACTATCCCAACCATTCACTTGCCAACCAAACAAAAGCATTAAATTGGTGCCTCCATTTCAATTTCCACATGGATTTGGTTTTGGGACTTGTTGAATCGGTTCTAACAATATAGCGAACCAAAAATAGTCCAAGCAGCCTACAATGACTGAAATCCTTAGGTAGCATTTGGTGCTTAGATTGGGGGCTGGAACTGGGTCCAAGCAACTATCACAGCCATCCATTTGCCAATCAAACAAAAGCATCGAATCTGTGCCCCATTTCTATTTCCATATGGATTTGTATTTGAGACTTAGTTCAATTCGGTTCTAACAATTTGGACAACCAAACGTGCCCTTTGTGTTGTCTCATCGCCAAAAAGGAGGGGGAAATCAGCTTTAAGAACTGCAGTATGAGCTGCGATCTGCAGACATCTTCCATTGAACTTACCCATCAGTCCATTGGAGTATATATTAGCAGTCCCCTTAGTCACTACTCCCCTAACGATGCATATCAACTGTCAATTACTAGAAGCTTTCTCCATTTCAATATGAACAACATAAGCACACCCTCTTTTGGATTTCTTTCTTCCTATTTTCTCCTAATATCGGACTCGTGAACGTTGCCATAATGGCATACATTACTATCCCAGATGAATAACAATCTCTAGGACAAATAGCAAGTGATTGGAAAGAGAAAAATCAACGGCCAATCATTTTTCGCTAGGACAAATGGACAATTTGTCTTTCATCAATACAAAGAACTAGCCACCATTCATTCTAAAATTCTGAACCAAGATATCTTTCATGAACCACATCGTTACAGAATAGAAACTGATATCTTTCATGAACCACGTCGTTACAGAATAGAAACTAAACAGCTTCTGTGTGTGTGTCAGGGAGAGAAGTGTTTCTTACCCTCTTGCGGTCCTGTATTTTCTTCTTCCTCTCCTTCTCCTGCAAAATCTTCTGCGCCTCTTTTCTTCTCTTCTTCTTCCTCTTGTGGAACCCAGTCACGAAATCCCTGCCAAACCAAGGTCCCGGCCACGAATTCGTCAAATCCCTTGAACCACAGTACCACAGCTATATAATGCGTCGATCGACACAATTCGCAACAAAAATAACCACTATAATCATGTTTTGCAATAGGAACTTCGCGGGCGTCGCCAACGGGGACAAGGCAAGGCAAAGGAGGTAGCCGCACCTGAGCGCTTTCTTGTCGAGCGTAACAGAGAGCGCCTTGTTCTTCAGGGCCCTCTTATTGATATGCTTTGGCACCATCACCGTCGGCATCTGCCCCACCACGACGTCCTCCTCCTCCTCCGAGGCCGCCATCTCATCCCCGTATTCCTCCTCTTCCACCGCCTCCTCCTCCCACACCATGGCTACGGAGTTCGCCCTCTCTCGGCAGGAGGCGCCGCCGCTAGCCGCACCTGCGTGCGTGCGTGCGTGCGTGCTGAGCGAGCGAGCCTACTGCTGCTACGCTGCTGCAGCGGCAGCGACCGTGTCGCTGGTTCTTCAATCAAAGCCAAACGTGACGGTGGCGGCGGCGGCGAGAGGGACAGCAGGCACACAAGGAGGGAGCGGGGCTGTTGGGCCTGTGCTGTGCGTGTGGGGACGCGGGCCTAGACCCCGTCTCATCGAGCGGCTGTAGCGTAGCATGGGCCGGTACGGTTGATGTGTGGTGGGTGTGGGTGTGGGTGTGGGTGAGACCCAACCAGGAACATTTGCATTTCCAAGATCTAGATTAGATTAGATGCTTGGACTAGGAGTAGCCGAGGAGTAGGAGTACGAGTATGCTGGCTGGACTGCTGTTGCTTCCACGTTGTGCTGGCTGGACTGCTGTCTGGATCGTAGAGCTAGCTTCGTCGTGACGGAATCTGATGATTTGGGTTTTGAGCACGGGCGTTTTTAGTTTCGGCTGTTTGCTGTTCTACTAGTTTCTCTTTCGGCTGAGTATTCTTCGAGTGGTAGCCAATTACAGCGAGAGTTTGTGCTCTTGTTTCAGGGTCCCTTTGGATCATCTAGTCTAGAATTAAATTTTAGGTAAGTGTCGTTTGAATATACAGACTACCGTTCGCTTGGAGAAATTGTGGAGGAATTTGGATGGTTTGGAGAAATTTGTGAGAGAAAAACACTGTTTCGGATAAAAAAGAAGCGGATCAAGCCGGATTTAAAGGCATGCGAACGGGGCCTAAAAGTGATAGATATACGCCTAATTTCTCTCCATATGCATTAAACCGAAAAATGATTCCGGATCAAGGGTTTATTTGGAACGGGGATTATGGAAACATAGGAAGAGAAGTCTAGGAATCGAGTGCCCTAACTCTTCAATTCTTCGATTCAAGAAAACAATGGAGATGTTCGGTCGATGGTTTCTGCGACTGATAAGCCATCCGAAGTTGATTTGTTGTGAGAGAAAAACATTGTACCATGGCTGATAAGTTCAAACAAACAGGGCGAACAAACTAC